TGTAGAGTCAATGAGTCGATGCAATCGGCTAGTTTTCCTTAGATAGAAAGCTTCGAATCAATCTGACTGGATGATCTGGTGAACTGGAAAGTGACCTGAGATGACATGATGTGAATTGGAGCTATAGAAATGAACTGAATTTAATTAAATAGTAGCCTTTTCATGTTTTGGCATCCTTTTTATTTTCATTGTTGAATGCAGAAGAAAAGTTAGTTCACATAAATGGTAGATGCAGTGTTGTGTTACATCACTACAAATAATATGAATATTTTTACATGGAGGGAGTGGGCAGTGGGCTGAATTGTTCAACTGGAATTATTCAGGAACGCTTCAATGTTGGTGGAGAATATCAAGCCTTTAAGTCAAATCATTTAAGTTTGAGGGAATCACTAGCAGATGGTGTGAAAATCCATGAACTGAATGTCCGCCCTAACCCCTAAATCCCTCCATCACTATATAGAGCGGGAAATATATAGTGATGGAGGGATCATGAACTCAGTTAACTGACCGTTGGAACCGTTGGCCATGTAACTCCGCCTCCCTGCACGGCAACTACGCCATTTTTGTTAATTGTCGCTGTCACAACAAATCCCACGATGCTTTGCGAGGAGAGCTCTCCCAAAGCATTCCGGAATACATATGCTACTACTTTTCAAGGTGCATTGTGGGAAATTTCAATTCCACCACTTTTTCATCCACTAGACATTCAGACACTCATCTAAAATAGAGTAACCAATATATAGTGCCCAGTATAGTGATCAGGGCGGACGTTCGGAAAAAAGCCCTTTGTCATTCTAACAATCTTTTGTGATTTTATCAAATGGAGTCTAAAGTAAATGAATCTGTGACTCGGGTCTAGACTTGATTTTATTTACAGGTGTAACATGGATTTCGGTACAAGCTCTTAAATAGCAGAGGTTTGGTGAAATCGATCAGCATCTGATGGTGTGCTGAAACGGTAGAATTATAAACAAATGTAGAAATGTTCCTTCACCAGGGTGTTCTGCAAGAACACTTGGCAGATAAATGACTTACGACTGGTTCCTCAAATCCCACATCTAGGAACTAGAGTTTGGTGGAAGGCCTTTAGAAACCGAACACATCTTTAAGACCCTCTTTAATGACGCCGCAGTAAGCAGCTGATCAATGTCTCACATGACAGCAAAATATTATTTGATTCTGGCTGCTGATAGGTAACAGAAGAGTAATGCATAAAAAAAAGGATAAATACCAAAAACCATAAATCAGCCGAAGTTATGGAGGAGTTTGCTTCAGCCATTTAAAGATCCTGTTCCTCCACCAGTGTGTCTTAAACCCAAAGTCCCTGCTGATCTACGTTACTTGTGGGGGTTCATTGTATGTGTGATGGAGGAAATTGTTTCTAGAGTGAAAACACTCTCAGATGGTGGTAAAACTAGAAAACTTGAATAGGTTTTGTCCATTCATTTAGGTATAGGTGAGAGTCGGGGGGAATGATTAAAGATTTGGGATATTAGTTAGGGTGATCATGTTGACATGCATGTATAACATCTAATCCAGAGGTATGTCGGATGCAGAGTGTGTGGAGAATAAAGAGACTGATCCTACTGGAAAGTGACCTGAGATGACTTGTGTTGTGAATCGGTGCTATAGAAATAGACTGAATTGACTCTATCAAAATGACTAAGTAGGCTTAAATACAAAAGCATTCATGATTAAATGTTTATCCTTTGGAAAACACCATGTGACTAATCTATTTGCAGCTTTAAGTTTACCTAACATTACCGTATTAATGAATTATAATTTCTTGCATCGATGGAATTCCAGAAATAAAGAAAAATAAAAAGAAATTTTGGTGTTATTTTCTTTGTGAGTATTAAAAAAAAAATGGAATATTCCTAATAGGACTCCTGTAATTTCAAATCTCCTCGTGGAAATAAATTTCAGTCCTCTTCAAACCACAGTAACGATTCAATCCTCATTTTCCCTCCTTATCGGGTCAACAGTGCAATAAAATGCAGCGTGCAGCAGCAGCCCTTTGATAAGGTAAGTAGGCCATGGAGACGAAAATATTATTTAATTACAGTGCACCCTCTGGGTTTTTTTTACAACAGCCACCTGCCTGGCACCGTGCCGCGCCGCACTGAAACGTGTGACACAGGCTATGTCATCTTTGATGACAGGAATGTTAAAATTTATTGTTAAAATTTATTTTTTATACATATTTTTACACCATTAGAAACATAAAGAAGTTTTTTTCTCCTCCTACACTCTATCTAAAAAAATAAATAAAAAATAGCCCTAAAGGGGGTGCTAAAGAGCCACATGCAGCTCCGGGGCTGTGGGTTACCAACCCCCGGCATGGGGGATTTTCATATCGAACATTAATTATTAACCTTATTTATTTTCAGTATCAATGTACATGCTTCATTTTATTTAGATGGGCTTTCTGACTTTTTTTAACAGTGTCTTGTCTGTCAATGTGGCAATAAGAATAATTGTCTTGATACCAAAAAAAGGGCCAAAACAGATTTTGCTTTCTGATGATCTTTCATCCATGTTAATCTCTCCAGATTACTGTAATCCATATATTTGTTGCTCAAAGCAGGGTTCCTACAGCAGAAAGCAAGTTAAATTCAAGACTTTTTAAGACTTTTTAATGCCACTTGAAATAAAAATTTAA